CTTCTTGATGATTCGATATGTTGTGATCATAAAGGGACAAAGGTTATAACCTATAGGCACTTTGGTGTGTTTAGAGCAGTGTTTCCCAACCTTGGGCCTCCAGCTGTTTTTGGACTACAACTCCCTTCATCCCTAGCTAGCAAGACCAGTGGTCAGGGATGATGGGAATTGTAGTTCAAAAACAGCTGGAGGCCCAAGGTTGGGAAACACTGGTTTAGAGTAATATGTAGACCAGCCCCAAGCCACAGATGAATGTTCCACTTCTCCAATATTCAAAGCAATATGTGCCCAGAAATTTTGGCCAGGCACATCATTCATTGTAATGAAATAAATACCCAGAGTTGTTATGAAGATATTCCCACTCAGTTGTGGGGGGAAAAACATTGCTATATATACTGTATTTGGATTCAATGGGGAGAAATAAACACATTCCTATCCCCAACATATAGGAGGCTATCAGACAGCTCTCTGCCAGGCAGCCTGGTAAACAGAAGGGGCGCATGGCCCCAGCAAGACCTCCTATATATCCAAAGTCAAGTCACGGAGAGCTACACAAGAGAGCATTTCCTTTGTTTTAATTCAATAGCGACTAGTTGATACCATCACCCAAACCAAGGGTTAAACTTATTTCCTGGACTGCACCACTTTCAGGCCATAAGTGGGAGTGGGAGTTGCATGTTTGAACACCCCCATGCGTCAAACAAATAAACAAAAACAACCCTGCACACAGACAAACAATATTTCAGGTCAAGGCTAAACTGAACCTTTCTTCTTGACTTGATCATGTGGCAGGTAACTCCTACCAACACCATGGTGGAAAGTCCAGCCATGATTGCAAACTACCTTTACTGCCCTCACTTTGCAGGAAGAGCTTAAAGACTTGGTTCGGGTGATAGTGCATCCTGGCCTCTGGTGGTAACCTGCAAAGAAATTCCCAGTGGATTACTCCCATTTTTATTTTTGCAGTGTTCAAGTTCTACCTGGGAGTAATAGCACATCAGGAAATCAGTGTGTGTATGCAGTTGCCTGTTTAAATTTGCAAAATAAATGATTATGAGAAGACAAGCTTTATAGTCATACATGAAGTTTGTTTTCCTTATGCTTGGCTACATAAAACTTTTTTTCAAGAAGCATGCTTAACACACACGACTTAACTTCTAGAACTCTGATCATTATTGCTTGGATTAAGCTAGGTATGAATGCTAATTGCCTAAAGTGGGTGAGAACCTTTGTGTTCCATGTTGTGGAAACTGATCCTAAACATGACACTTAGCCAGTGCTTTTTTTTTTCTTTAAAAAAGTGTTTAGGGATACTCTCATTTTGACTCTAGAAAATCACAATTTTATAGTTTGAATCGGGAAAAATAAATACAGTAAATGGACAAGAGTACAAAGATTCACAAAATGTTTAGGGGTATGCGTACCCCTGCGTACCCCCCCCCAAAGCACTGCACTTAGCCTATATTACAAAGCACACCAAGTGTTTAAGGCTTTTAAGAACCAGCAGAAGGCTGCAGGGCTCAAAGTTATTGTGAGATGAAGGCATGATGTTTTACACTAAAATGTGTGTAAAATACAGAAAGCCATCAGGCACAGGTGTGTGTTCACTTATAAATATACATTACCATACACTATTCCCAGGACACCATTGTAAACAGCTACCAAATAACAAATGACGAAGCAAAAGCTAGATGGGGGGAATCGGGGCCTCCCGTAGCACAGAGCCCTCTTGCTTAGAGTTTCTCTAGTCATCAGCCCAGCTTCTTGGCCAGTCTCTGCAAGCCTATAGAGGTATGGCAATTCACTATGCAAAACAAGTGGGTTGTGATGGAAGAGGAGGTACAATGTGCTTTTGTTTTGAGAAATGCACTCGGTTCTTTGCAGTGTGTTTTTGCAGGGCAATTATTCCCCTGAATGTTCTGGAATGCATATGAGGGTCATGGCCCATCATGGCTCAATACAAATTGTGGCTGGTGACCCAGGAACTCACTATGGTTCATAAAACTATCAGAACCATCAAACCAATGGCCCTGCTGATACAACTGGGCACCGGTATCCATGTCCATATTCTGTTCTTCATGGTAGCAGCCAACAGCTGGCTTCTTTAAAACTCTACCATTTCAGCCCCTTCAGATTGCAGGTCTGGGGTGGGTGACTGTTTGTTCAGTTCTCCCAGTGTTCCCGTCCTCTTTAGGTATCAGGGTGGTCCCTGTGAGAACAGAACAATGGACTAGATACTAGGTATTGGCATGATCCAGTAAGACTCCAGTAATCTTAACAAATCTTCCCTTCTCACACAAAACTAGATTAGCTTGATATAATAGCCCTAACATTTAGGGCTATGGAATGCCTTTTGTGGGGAAAGGTAAAGGCTGGCTAGACCTGTCTACCTGGCACAGCTAGGAGTGCCTGTCAGAAGAGGGCACACCAAGGGACATTTTACCTATGACCCTCTCAAACCCTTAACCACCTGACCTACTATTTGTGTAGACAAGCTCTATTTGTGACCTACTATTTGTGTAGACAAGTATTTTCCAGTCACCTTTGCCTAGTCAGGCAGCTGGAACCAGATTATCATAAAGCCCAGCATAAACCAGCCTCAATTGTTGCCATTGGTTAGATTCAGATTCAGATGAAGCAGCAGATCCACCAGGGATTTTGAGTGGGGGTGGGTGGGATTTATTATTAGAAGGACTGTTCATTTTTTAGCACAGTCCAGAGGGAACCTTTGGACCTCTAGATGTTGCTGAGCCACAACTCCCATCACCCTGACCATCAGTCCTGCCTTCTGGGGCTGATGGGAGTTGTAGTTCAGTAATATCTAAGATGGAAGATGATTCCCCACCCCTGCCATAGAGTCTCTACCACTTCTTAATATTTATCTGAATTTATCTGTTCCAAGCACATATGCACTTAGATGCTCTGTGGAAGCATCTCTATATTGCTTAACGGGCTGCATTACAATACTGCAGATCACTCTATGACTGTGCCAACACAGCAAAATGAGGTTGCTGGTGTAAAATGAACAGAATATACCTGTTTCTCCTTACACAAGGGCAAAAGGGTAACCTGACAATACACTCTCCTGAGTGCAGAAATGGAGTCATTCATCTCTTGGGTCAGTTATGCATCTGCACATGACACCAATACACAGCAAGTTTTCTTTTCTTTTTGCAAAATGTGCTATTGAGCTGAAAAGCCTGGGAATATTAATGCTTGGGGGGTTGCTCAGGAGGTCTTGATAACTTTACAGATAACTACATATAATCCAATATTTTGAGATAAAAAGAAAACACACACATTCATGAATGAGGAAACTGCATCTGCCTTCATGTCTTGCTGGTATGAGCAAACTAGATGCAAGTTACACGAATAGCCAAACAGTTGCCAGCAAGGCTGAAATGAGGTTTTGTGTCCTCTCTGTCACCAGAGAAACCCTGAGTGTTTTGGTGTATGTTTACTATTATTTATGAAACTGTAAAGAACGGAAATTGTTTTTTAAGTATCTCAGAAGCATTTCAGAAGCAATCTGCATGAACCCTCCAAATCCCAAATTAGAAATTATCCCAAATATATATGCAACACTTTCCCTTTTGTTTACATATCTAGGTGACAGTCCTGACCCATATGTACTTGCAGGCTACATTGAGATTAGGTTTAAGAGAGTTGCCTGTATTTTTCTACTTATCTAAGCAATTCTCATTAAGAGGCTGCAAAGCTTAATGGAGGAACACACACTTTGCATGTGCAAAGGATGCCAGATTCAGTCCCTGGCATCTCAGGGATGGAAAAGACCAAGGAGAGTCATATTGGATTAGATGGACCGCATTGTGTCCCCTAGCGTAAGCACTCCTACTCAAATAACTGATGCGAGGCTGGCAATACTCCACGACCAGATCACCTGCACCAGCATTAACTCTTTGGTATAACTCTTGGATCAAGCATTGCATCTTCTATGGATCACATGCAGCTTCATTCTGCACCCTTCAAAATATTGCCATTCTAAGCATCAGCTCAGCTTACTTGTGCGTTGGCCATGATTCAAAGGAAATTTACTAGTGCATAGTACCTTTTATTATTGCAATTTCACACTGCTCGTCAAAGAAAGAGAGAGGTTGTTCTCTGTGAGAAATAGTAATGCTCTTTTAAGTGGTTTTTATTAACAGGTGATATGGTTAGATTAGATTTTGCAGTCCTTCATATCCTACCAACTATGAAAATAAATACTTTCTCCTACCTATTAAAAAACCAATCTCTGTTGCTGGCTAGCTATATTCCTAGTGTGTGTGCCTTTTTAAGGGTAATTTATGTTCCTTCTTAGTTGTGCTGCATATTTCCCAATACCTACCCCCAGTCTTAGCGATGAAAATTATCTGAAATGTGAATTTCCTATATCTGAGTAGCTTTACTTGGCCAGTCCCTGCAAAGCTATAGAGGTAAGGCAACTCATTATACAAAAGAAGCAAGATTTTGCACATACCGTATTTTTCGCTCTATAAGACGCACCAGACCACAAGACGCACCAAGTTTTTGGAGGAGGAAAACAAGGGGAAAAAATTCTGAATCTCAGAAGCCAGAACAGCAAGAGGGATCGCTGCGCAGTGAAAGCAGCAATCCCTCTTGCTGTTCTGGCTTCTGGGATAGCTGCGCAGCCTGCATTCGCGCCATAAGACGCACACACATTTCCCCTTACTTTTTAGGAGGGAAAAAGTGAGTCTTATAGAGCAAAAAATACGGTAATAGTAGCCAAATTGATGTGGTGTTCCTGCCTGTAGTTATAAATCCACACCAAAAGCCTTGGCTAGCGCGGTTTATAGCTGAATGAAGTTGGAAATGTTAATGAAAATGTGAACTTTGAAACTAGTGCCATAAAATACAGAAATATCTAAATTTTGACCTGTTTTTTTGTAGGTGACTGTTCATTAGAGAGAGAACCTTGTACTTAGAGCAATCTTTGTATGTACCTAGAAACGATGTTGTTGTTATTTTTTTGGGGGGGGTGTTAAAGAGGTGGCAAAATGGGATTACTGGAAAGCAGGACACATTTGGAATGTAGATATATTTGTTGTAAACAGCAGTTTGGGGTTGTGGAGTTTGTTTTGGTGTGCTACAATCAACTGCATTCATCATTTACAGTAAAATAATAATAATAATAATAATAATAATAATAATAATAATAATGGAAAATTACAAAGAAAAAACCCTGAATGTTTAATATACAGCTTCAGAACCAACCAAGCACTTTGCAATGCATAGACCAATTGCTGGTTTAAAAAAGTTTGCATTTATAAACCTAGAACCTGACCCAGCTGTCAGTGTTTAACAGTGGGTGACCCAAGATAGTTCTGTGCACCAAGCCAGTTTTAGCAAGATGTGCCTCCACTCCAGTAATGCAGGTGGAAGGCTCTTTATGCACACAAATCTCTCTTGCTGGGGTGAGGTGCCTATTTTTGAAATGGCCACAAATCGCCCACCCAGGCACTTCAGGATGTGGCCAGTTGGCCCCTCCAGCTGTGACTGAGAGAGATTTTCTTACAGATATTAGGCAAGTAACGTGGCAGATTGATCTCCACTGTGGTAGCCAAGGGAGTGGGACGTCCATCTGGGAACCCTGGACTAGCTGGCTGGGAGAGGGGTTCTCTTATCTATGCCCAGTCAAACCATACACCCATGGGATGCGAGTGTGGGAGAAATACGGAGTGCTGTTGAGCTAAACACCATGTTTGTAACACTTTCTAGATGCAAGTTCTGCTCTCTCTTTTTACCCTTTCCTAATAAGAGACCATTTTCTGATTACTACTACTTGGTTTCAATTGTTACTTACTGACCAAATAGCTACAGTGCAGTGTTAAATGGAAGCCTCTGCTTTGAAGCAATGTAAAACCAAGGGTCTTTATAACAAGTACCTGGATAAAGCTTTGATGAAACTTTATATAAACAGTTTCCCAATGTTGCTCCCCACCCCCACCCCACCCCCTGCATAAGATAAAATAGTTCAAGTTGATACAGTCTAGGCACCTATGTTGGGTGGCCACGTGACAGATGAGCAAGCAACACAGACAAGCTCAGGGACAGTGTGGGGCTCACAAGCCTCTGAGAAGTTCTTCTGCAAAAGCCTCACTTATTCCATAGGGCATTTTACAGGAGAACCCTGGAAAACAAATCCGTAATGCCTAAAATCCACAAACTTGCCATTTTGAACTTAAATGCATTGTTCCCCAGTGTAAATACATTTCCCTATATTTGGGGTGGGTGGGTGGGAATGATAAAGGCATCAAGTTCGTTAGTTTAAAAAAAAAATCCCCTCAACCCGCCCCCATGGGGAAGGTAGGACTGTATCGAACTTTATAGACAAGGTTTCTGCAGCAGGAAGTTGATGTGGTAAAATCACCTTGGTATGAAATGACATTGACGGGGTGGGGGCAGGGAGAGGGATTTAATGAAGTCATCCAGGGGGCATGCCATATATGGTCCTGATTCCCCAAACGTATCTATAGCAAATGTGAAACCAAACCATTTGAGTGCGAAGTCCAGCGCTGGTTTCCTCCTCGGTGAGTGGAAGAACTCGGCCACACTCATTCTGAGTGCAGATCTGTTTGCCAGCTGAGGCTGCAGAGAGTGTGTCTTCATTGTACTTACTGTGTTACATAAATACTTATCCCTGAGAAAGTTGAGAGGAGGTTGTGGAGTGGTGGAAAGTCAATCCAGTTCAATTAGACATTCCTCTTTTGTAACTTCTTTTTTATAAAATTTGCTTTGACACCTGAGCAAAGGTATTTTTTTAAAAAATATACACACATATAGATATATTTAAAAACAATTAACAGGAGCGTCCTTCTTAAGGCTCTGGAGAGTGAAGGCTGGCAGACAAAATAACTGAAAATCTTGACCAGGAAGAAAAATTGCTGGCAGAAGATGGAGAAGAGGCTCATCAGTGTTAGTCCCATTGTGCCAGAGATAATCTGCTGGAGAAACGATGTATAAAAAAGAAAGAAAAAAAGATAGTGGGGTGGGGTGGGGGAATAAGCAAAATGTGCAAGGCAAATAAAACTCCAAAAATGATATCTATAAAATGATAAGAGCAAAGTGCTGGCCTCCAGTGCAGGCAGGTCTACGGGGAGCTGGAAGGACTGATGGTGGGACTAGATGCGTCTGAACGGCTATAGTCACTGACCGATCCTGTCCGGGAGCTGCTGCCGCTCCTCCTCTTGAGCATGCTGGGGTGGAAGTTGCTGTGGCGGCGGGCGTGCTTCGTCAAGTGGTCACTGCGCATGAATCGCTTCTCGCAGAGAGGGCAGCCAAACTTTTTCTCTCCAGTGTGAGTGCGGAAATGCCGCGCCAGCTCATCGGAACGGGCAAACTTTTTGTTGCAATCTTCCCAACGGCATTCAAAAGGCCTCTCGCCTGTTGAGAGAGAGAAAGAGAGACTATGAAATAGCCGCATTTATTTTATTATTATTTCATTAAAATGTTGCTACCCTGAAAGACTCTGGAGGCAGGCAGCTTACAGCATTTTAAAATAATAACAAAATAAAAGCTGCAGCCTAGTCCTATTCACATTTCCCAGCATCGTAGCAGCAGCAGCAGCAGCAGCAGCAAGACAATCAGATTTTATTAAATGCTCAAGAAAATGGAAAACTCTTCCATCCAGAAATGAATGAAATAACAATAAACTGGGGGCTAAAATAATGAAAGTGGGTTCCGGACAAACTGAAATGGATAGAGGAATTTAAAGGTGAGGCACTGGATCCCTGAGAGAGTTCGTGGGTTTTCTGCATAGGAATGCTGCCATCCCTGCTTAGGATGCAGACTTTATATGCAGCAGCAGAAGTTACTGTAGTTTAGTTAAATGAATCCTTGCTTGGAAAACACCTTTAGTTGGAAAGTATTCAGACTGAGTCTTGGTATAAAGTAAGAAAGCTTATGTTTACTAATGTAACTACATTAGGGGCAGCAACCTTTTCCAGCAGTGGGCCGGTCCACCGTCCCTCAGACCTTGTGGGGGGCTGGACTATATATTTTTTGGGGGGGAAGGGACAAATTCCTATGCCCCAGAAATAATTCAGAGATGCATTTTAAATAAAAGGACACATTCTACTCATGTAAAAACACGCTGATTCCTGGACTGTCCACAGGCCAGATTGAGAAGGCGATTGGGCCACATTCGGCCCCCGGGCCTTAGGTTGCCTACCCCTGAACTACATTCTCAACAGGGAAGCGTTCTATAGTCCTAGCTACCTATCTAGTTGGAGGAGCAAAGAATCCATGCTTCCCCCCTTTGCTCTCAAAAGAAAGATCCAAGATTAACTCTCACCTCAAGGTCCAAAAAAGTGTGAGAGGAGGAGCAGGAAGTTGTAAAGAGGACGGAACCTTATACTTACCAGTCTAAATAAACATTAAAGGGGGCGGGGGGGAGGTCAGCGTAGTGATAAAAGTATAGGGATAGTCTGGGAAGCTGGAAGTCTCTTGCTTTGTCTTAACCAGTGCAAACCCCTCTGAGCCAGCAGAGGTGCACCCAGATACCCAACAGCCCCCACCTGTGTGCTCTCAGTAGAAGTTTCTGTTCAACAGGAAGCAAGACTTCTCCATTTTTCTCATCCAACTGTATGCAAATTATGGTGCTATTTAGTCATATTGCTTTAAGGTACCCATACATAAAACTCTGTTGTTGTTACACTTATTCATCACTTTCTACAAAAAAAAAAAATTATTTTAGACCCTGCCATTTCTCCTGTATTTCAAGGCAGCTTACAAAAATAAAAAACAAACAGCACTTTTAAAAAGCTGTTAAGCACTTTAAAAGCACTTTAAAACCAGAAAGGCTGCATATAATTGCAATAAGTAAGGAATTAAATTCAGCCTCTGAGCTTGCTTAACAAGCGGGCCTCAACACAGTGGCAAAATGCCAGCAACCCTCCCTGGGTCGGAAGTTCTCAAGTCTGTCTGGGTACAGCAAGAGAAGGTCTCTGTAGGTGATCTTAGTGGGCAGGTACATAGGGGAGAAGGTAGCTCATCAGGAACCGCATCCTAAAGCATTACAGCTTCACCATCCAAACTTTACCATTAGATCCCAAGATATTAATTCCAAAGTTTAGTAATAAAGTTTAAAACACAACAACCTTATTTTACATCCCATATCAGAGTCTCGCAGGTGGATGAGGGGATTTTTAAAAAAAGAAATACATTATGGGTTCCATGAAGACCACAAGCCTGCTTTTTGTTAATTTCACTGGATATCGTTCCTGTCTCATTGCTTCCCGGCAACTCATGAGATCACATCCAGCAGTGGCTTTCCCTCAACATCCATTGTTTAGCTCTCTTCTTTCTTAGCCAGATTGCCTTTTCCTATTGAGCCGCTTTTTGCACAGGAGAAGAAGTAATTCATGCGGTTCATGCGTCGGGTTTTGACAGGGAGATGAATGAGGAGGCGTGATGAGGTTGTCAGTCCCACTTGCCCCTTGAATTATATCAGGCATGTTTTCCCTAATTCAACTAGCACTCTACAGTTTTAATCAAATCAGACCACAGAAGCTGAATGTACAACAAGCTTTAATGGAGGAAAGAAGAATATCCATCAAGTTGCCAGTGTTTTCTCCTACCCATAAGATGAATAGATAAAAATAAATATTAGTAAGACCAGCTTGGCTACTCTTACTTGACCTTCTTGTCTGAATCACCTGTTTCTTCCAAGGGGGCAGACGTGCTCGCCATTACTGCTAGGACCAATCATACTTATTTTTAAATTTATACCCCACCCATCTGGCTGGGTTTCCCCAGCCACTCTGGGCGGCTTACAACATATATAAAAGCACAACAAAACATCAAACATTAAAAAACAAAATACCTTATACAAGCAAACCAATAAAGAAGACACTAACAATAATAACAATAACAGTTTACAGTTATACCCAAATTAAAATAACCGCCAACCCCAACTAAACATTATTTAACCAACACCAACCCAACAAAAACAAAACAGAGGAACCAAAATTAAAACTGTTTAAAACATTTTAAAACATTTCAGCCAGTTTCCCCAACCCAAGAGTTGTTCCAGCAATGTCCCTTCAGCCTCCCAGGAGCCACTTTTAGCTGTTCCAGGTGAGTCTGGGCCAGGTGGAAATGGGCCTTGCAGCAGGGAGCGCTCTTCCTTCCAGCACTCACAGAAGCAGCAGCAGCAGCAATGGCTCATCCCTTTCCCCTTGTGGCTGGGGGGCCATTACTAGACCTTCTGCAAAATCATACTCTGTTCCAGCATGTGATGAAGATCTATGGGCACGTCACATTCGCCTTTCCCAGACAAGATAGGGCAGTGATCCAACAGCAGATGAAGTGCAGTAGGTTTAATTAAAGCCAACTGCAGAATCACAAAGTTGTAAGCAAATATTTAAGGTTCCCAGAAGGCTTCCGGATAGTAAGCAAAAGAATGCAGGGCATTTGGGGAATATGGCTCTGTATTGCTATGATTTTGGCTTTTCTAATTGACTGACAGAGCTACCTCTGATTTGTTGGTAAAATGCAAACATAAGAATGCACCCTCCTTGCCCCTTTGAAAGGTTCAGGTCACATTGCCTTCAGCGAAAGCCTTCCAAAGTTCATTTCAGGTGGTTATGTGAGGCTGTTCCATTCTGTCAAATCACTGCTCCCTTCTGCCAGGGTGAGGGGAACTGATTTCTTCTGTGACCCTGTGCAGAATGCAAAACGTCCTGCATTTTGCTTTCCCCCTGTGTGCAGTTGCACATGTAGCCTGGCAATGGATACACCTGAACTTTTCCATTAGCTCAAGCTAAAGTGTGAGAGACTGTAAAGGGAGCACTGGATTTTCTCAGCCAGAACAAAAGGTGACGGGGGCTTCTGACCATGTTATCAACTGCACCAAGCAAGTATCAGGTTGATTGTGTTTTCATAGCAACCATGATTAGTAAATGGTGCTGCCAAGGAGGATGTGATTTCTAAAGCTGGAATGGTACTCTGGGGTGGGGAATTCCCTTAACCATTATCATTGCTTTGCAACAGCTTTCAATTCATATTCATATTGTTGATTTTTTATATATTTGCTATATATATTTCTATATTATCAGTATTACATTTATAGCCACTCCATCAACAACCCTGTGCAGAAGGTTAGGCTGAGAGACCATGAACGGCACAAAGTCACAAGCTGAGCTTTGTGGCTGATTTTGACCTTGGCCTTCCAAGTCCTTGTCCCCTTAACACTTGTCCCCCTGCACTTTATCCCACATTCCGGACAAAAGATGTAGAAATGAATAAAGTGGAGGAGACCTATATTTTTCCCATAGGTCCAAAATTTATAGGGTCCGTTTTTAACAGTCGTGTGTGACACCTTTAAGACCAACCAGTTCAGGCTTCAATCCTGCACATATATACCGTATGAGGGAGCAATCCTCATATTGGAATTCAGTAGAGCTTACTCTTGAATAATGTACAGTTATTGCAGCATGAACCCACATTAGAAATTGTACAGTAGTGACCCCCTTTTCAACCAAGGTAAGGCACTTCTGTGCTAAGTACTGATGAAAGTGAAAGGTTAAAGGGCCCATTCCTTTTTCACTAAGGAGGAAGATGGGGAAAGAACTGAGACAACTTGGCCATGCCCTGTGAGCTCTCATTGGCCATGTCCCTGTGACCCCCTAGCTGCCCCACCATGGTATCTACTAGGCACTCTAATTGGCAGATGTAAATGAGCCTAGAAACAGGAACTGAACATGCTTGGTGTGCACAGGTGCGATATTATCATGCACTTAAGAATTGCTACAAGATCCTTTGGTGTCTTGTGGAAAACAGCCTATAAAGTTAGCCTAAACCTAAAGCTTTGCACAAACACCACAGAAACAAACATGCCGTAGGGTATTAATTATGCTGAGACTTTGCTCTGCACCAACACCCTGTATGGAAACTCTCAACTGGGGTTGAGGGGTGGGGATGCGGTTTTTTGAGCAGGTGAGATTGTACAAAGTGTTCTTCTGTTCCTGGCAGGAAATAAAGCAATCAAGAGAAATGGAGATTATAGGAACTCGTTGCCTCATATTTATTAGGGAAGTAGCAAAGTGGCAAAGTCTTCTTGCAGCAACCTGAATTCTACAGGCTCCACCCCCCCTTTTGCAGCAAAATAGCTGCCCCTGTCAACTGCAAAACCATGCTTGTTGTCCAGTACGCTAAAAGGAGTAAAAAATTGCTTTCTATCCAATATTTTGAAGGCAACCAAAGAGAGGAATGCCAGACCTTTAGCTAACCTAGTAAGCATTTCCTCCCTGCTCAAACTGCGCTTCTTACTCCTTGTTGTGTTATTAAAGAGCTTTGGATTACAGCAGGGATACCAGAGAATGGTGTCTGTGTGCCAAGGCAGCACAGTAAAGATATTGCAAGCCACACTTCTGTGGCAACAC